CAAGAGTTTCTCTGCTAGGAGTGTTTTAGGAAAGCCATGTAGTAAACAGGTGAGTAGTACTGAACTTATTGACTTACTGCCGCAATGAAAAAAAAATCTATCGAACTTAAAACAATTCAGGTACCTAATTGAAAATTTGTACTAATTTTGCAACAATAGTCACCCTCATCCATAATTCACTGAGAATAAGATAAGTATAGAACAATAAATACTTAGCAAAAATACATGCCTCCGTGCATAAACTTGAAGAAGTAAAAGCTCGTAGGCAAACCATTGGGGCCATAAAATGTATTTGAACAACCAAAAGCGGCACACTACTCTCCTTTCTTTTTGGGAGAAAAATTAGCTTTATCGAGATTTTGGCTAGGACCATCCATTTTCCTTAAAAATCAAACAATTTCACTGCCTAAATGTGAATTTCATCAAAAGCGCTCAGAGATTTAACACGAGTTAACCCCCAGCCTCGTTCTCACGTGTGCGCGGTTGCATTTCCGATATGGCGCTAGCTCCGACCTAGAGGTCGGAGCTAGCGCCTAGCGACGCGGACAACCAGAGAACTGGAGCCATTCGTGTATTTCACCGCTGACAGGAATAGCTCCGACTCAAACGTTTGATAACTTTTTTTCAATGATTTTTTAATAATTTTTTAAACAGTTTTTGAAAAAAAAATGAAAACTAAACTAGTGAGCAGCACTGGGCGAACAGCAGTTTTAAAACAGATGAAGAGTTCGATGAATGGTTTTGTCCTTCATGTGAACAATAACCAAGAAAATCAGTTTTCCACGAAAAAAAACTCCCTCGATTGTGGCCAAGCCATATTTCTCCGGCAGAGCATACTGTAAATTAAAAACATCGGGCGCAGCGTCACGCAACATTGCGTGATTTTCCAAACGTGAGATGCAGTTGCTGCATTATTTTAAGACTTAGGAACTACATGGCCCTGTAGTAATAAAAGAGGACTTCATTTGCAAGCACTGTAGACTTCAACATAAGAAGAATCTAATAAATCGCTCTTTCAGTTTTTATCTCAGTGTATGAATTATTTAGCCAGAACGAAAAAAAAATTAATATACGCATGAGTTGGAGCCATTCCTGTCTGCGGTGAAATACGCGAATGGCTCCAGTCTCTGGTCGTCCGCCTAAACTGACTAAATAAGTTTTGTCAGCGGAGCTTGTCAGCGGATGACTTTTTCATCGCCGGAATATCGCTGAACGACCTCGCTGATCAAGATAGACTCTGCCTTCTCTTGATTATGTAAGTAGCCATTTCTTGATTGACTCATCGGTGTTTTCACATTGATATTTCATTGTTCCGCTTCGAGACACGCGGTTAACCATACTCACGAGCAAGGAGTTAAGATATAAGTATTAACTTTTATTATTTTTATCATCCAATCACGGGTCGGAGCCATTCCTGTATTTAGTCGCTAGTACTGTAAAAAAGGTCTCTTCGAAACACATAATGGTTTACAACGTGTAAGTGACAACGTGAAAGGCGACGTGTTAGAGGCGGAGATGTGTAAACCTTTTCGTTTTCTTTAGAAACCGAAGCATTTTATCGTCTTAAATAATGTATGATATTTTCTGACTTGCAGCCAATGATGAAACGCCTGACGAAAACAAAAATGACGTAATTCTACTTTTTTTATATAAGCAACTGAATTTAAAATTTTTGCCCAACACGGATAAACTATTTCGATACAAAACTTGCAAAATGGCCGAAGACCAAAGCAATCCTTTTCTGACTGCTACTATCATTGGCGATTGTGGAAATTCTACCAGTGGTGGATCAGAACCAAAATATGTTCCACTAGCCGCTGATCTTGTTCCCGTTGAAGTAAAAAGCTGGTTCGTGGCAATGGAAGCGAAAGAGTTATTGAAGAAGTATTCCCCAAAAACTGAAGCGAGAGAGTTTCTACCGAAAACTTCCAAGTATGGTAGTAAAGAGAAAATGATAGCCGCTATAGGCTCAGAAGAGATGGTTTACCCCGGAGATTGCGGACTGTTTTCAACCATTCTAACAGCCTACAACAACCACTGGACACTTCGAACGTCTCCCGATGACTGGTGGTTCTGCGTGATCAGGCGAGTGGCAGGTGCTATCGAAAAAAACGCCAAGAAAGATTCCGTACTTAAGATGTTTGTTGATCACGAAGGAAAAAAAGAAATTGAAGTGGAAGTACCTGACACCACCATCTACACTGTTGACTACAGCTGGTTCTTTGATCAAATGGCAAAGGGAATACGAAAGAACGTCAAAGTACCTGAGTTCGTTGATGGAGTAACGGCGGATTTTAGCACCACAACACCAGTGCAGAAGGTCGTCTCGCAGATTGTGTTGATGCACTCGGTTCAGGAGTATTTTAAGTACAGCATGATGCTTATGTGTGGCATTCCTGCTGTGGAAATGCTGGGCACTGAGGACGATTGGAAGAAACTTAAGTCCAAACTTAAGGTAACCTTAGATCCTTGTGTGCACATCCCCCCCTTAACCCTAACCCTAACCCTAACCCCCCTCCTTTTGCCTTGCAGTGATAGGAGATAAACTTAACCTATTTATCACGATCTGCTTTTTGGGCCACTCAAGTCTCAGATTTTTTCATTCTGACCCTAATACTCTCACTCCCATACAAGGGTGTAGTTAAGGGCACTTGTACTTGATGATGGGGAAAAATCCTGAAGTGAGCGGTGCAAACAGTAAGAAAGTGCAGGAGAAAGGGAAGGGAAAGAGACCTTACAGTTTCATTAGCAAATTATTTTTATTTCTACCCCTCCTCCACAAGCACCATTGCAAAAACTGTTGAAACCACAAGGTTGCGCAGTTGTCAAAGATAAAGATCAAACAGACATATCTCAGCTTTTTTGACAAGCACATGTCCTCAAATAACCTTGATTAACTAGTTTCTATAAAGTTCACAAGCCAGCCCCTCACCAGTTGGAAGTTTGAACCTTTGTCAGGTTTGTTCACAGTATTTGTGTACTTGGTACATAATTGATGGCTAAGTAGTGCACTAGATATACCCACTTAAATAACTGATTCATTAATCCTTTTTTAGGTGCTGCGAGCACTGCTTGAACCTATCGAGAATGACCTTGATTTACAGACAGAATGGTGGAATGCTGTGGAAAATGTGTTTAACAACTTGGTGGCTACCTATTGTGGGAACCCAGACAAGAAATGGTGGAGTCATATCATTTCTTACAAGAAAGAGTTCGGATCTGGAAGCCCTGAATACCAAGGGTGGATAACAGAGTTTTTGGAAGGCACAAACAGGGTCCTGACCATGAGCCAGTTGTCAAGTGGTATCATTAGTGTGCCCCTTGAACTTAAAAACCCAGGTGGCTTACAAGACACTGCTACACTTGTGGCAGGAATGGCAGGTTTCACCATGCATAACAAGGACACTACAAGTGTGTCTGTGCAGCCATACCAAGGCTGGTGTCTTTTTTTAAAAGAAGACTCTCCATTTTGCCAAAATTCTCTGAGTGGTGGAAAATAGAGGACCTGTATCTTGGGTAACAAAGCAATTCTTTAACTTGTTTTGATTCATTTTCAGTTCGTATGTGGGATGTTTTTACCCAGTATGTAAACAAAAATCTGCATCCTAGCAGTTAATTTACATCCAGAAATATTATAGCCCTCAGATAGTGTAAGAAGTACTGACAAAAATAAATATATAGCATTCATGTTGAAATTGATATGACAAAAAAGTGGAAATGTTGCTTTAGAGGTGAACCAATAAAGACAAGTAAAACTTTTGTTACTGACTTTCACAGTTAGACCACAGGTTTGTTAGGGAATGGGTAGAAGTGACAAAAATGTCTTACCCAAAAATCCCAGCTCTGCTCAAAATACAAAAGATGACTCCATAGATTGGAATGTCCCTTTATTAGTAAATTCAACACTAAAGGAACCCCTAGAGGTATGTACGGCTCTCAGTTGAACTGAAAAGTGTTCCAAAAAGATTTGTGAGGTTTCCAGGGCTACAGTCTCAACTATTTTCAAAGTTTTCATTCAGCTACTAAAGGTCGTAAAGATGTCACCAAAAATAAAAAAAAGTGGAATAGAATACGTAGTGACACACTGATTTATGTAAGTGTTTGTTTTGATTTAACTTAACCCTTTCTCCCCTTAACAGTGGTATTCATATTCTCTACACTGTTCTCCTTATATTTCCTCTGGTACTGACTAGGAGAATTTGTTTGACAATCAGGAGCATTCTAAATTGGTGATCATTTCCTTAATGTCTGATTCGAGGGTGATACTGCAAGGAGAAATTGTCAGCTAGTCCCTCTTAGAGGTCAAGACAAAGGAAACACAAAGTATACCCTACTGCCTGACCACTAACCACAGATAATTTGCCAAATTAGCCACTTATGAAGCTGGTTCAGTCCCCAAAATTAATCTAGCATGCAGCTTCAAGCTCCTGTTTATTTTTCAGGATCATTATCCTCGAGTGCCATGTGTTATACCAATCCATAAACTAGTATCCCAGGAAAAGGTTACACTTGTACTCTCACTTGCCCAACCCTTTACACCCAAACATCAGTTGGCATATTCTACATACTGTTCTCAATACATTTCCTGAAGTGCTGAGATGGAGAATTTGTTTAACAATTTAGAATTTTTTGAGTGATCATTTCCTTTATTCTTGAGACCTTAATGTGTGATTTGGGAGTGATTTTGTCAGGAGAAATTTGATGCTTGACACCTAGGGAGTCAAAGGGTAGAACCTCCCACCCAAGAAGTCTCTGACCCCCTCTGAAAGTTTCTTTCTCTCCCACCATTTCTCTGTCACATTGCACAAGATGGCAGCTATTACACATGACATGCTGAATAACTATTTTAGTGAATGAAAAAGGGTTACTACTCATAAAAATTTGAAATTTGTTTTCAACTTCTTTAGCCAAACAATTGATGAGTAATCTGTATGCTCGATTCACAAACCAACCATACCTTGAAACTTTGAGTCATGACTTCACATTTTAACTTGCTAGGACATCTTTGAGAAAAAAGATTCTGAAATATAATCCACAATATTTGACACCTTACTTTCAGAGATCAAACATCATACTGTTGGCTCACTTCCAAAAAGTTAGGACAATGCCCCATCCAGCACTGGGAGATTAATGATAATAGTGATCCTCTCAGAACCAGTAATGACAATCTGATAGGTTGAATTTGGCAATGACTACCTAGTCATGTTATAGATCAAATAAATTCACCAGGTAACAACTAAGACAGGTAGCTTCAAACTGACTGTGCACCCTTAAATACCAAATTATAATCACCAGATATGGCTGGCTAAGTAAGGTAACAAAGGAGGATCACATCTGCCATTGAAGGGAAATACTGCTTCAAAATCTGACTGCTACCTATTGGCACTTGAAAGAAATTAAATGGCAGTCAAAATTTTTGTATTTTTAACTCTGACCCCAAAGAGAGACTGGCACATAACTTCTTCTTACAGTACCAACCCTGAATCACACATGAAGGTCACAATAGAGAGGAAATGTCACCAACAAAAGTGCACTTGATTGTAAAACAAATTCTCCTTGTTAGCTTGAGGAATGTATAGGGACCAGTATATGGAGAATACGGTACCGAAGTTAAGGTGTAGCGGGTTACAAAACACCACCTTTACTAACGAATTAATGGTCAAGATACTTCAATGAAAAAATTAAATGGCATTTTCCAAGCAAAAAGAAATGTGAAAGTACTTGTAGAGGGAAGCCTTCATTATTTTCTCCCTCACTTTGCTGGAAAGTTTATGCCACCTTTCACTTAAAGACTAGAGATTGAAAAAAGAGAGAGATAAAAAATAAAGCTTTCAGGAGCCAAACAACAAATTAACTCAAACTTTACTCCTTCATGTGAACAAATTGCAGCAGCAATGAGTAATTACTTTTAATATACAGCAGGGATTTAGTATACTAAGCTGCTAAACTTAACTTAAATTTAAAAAAAACAAGGAATTAAAACTATGCCTCTTATAACTTTTTACTCCTGAAGCACATATCACACATAGTCCTCCTTGTATTCAGTTATGTTATGGTGCACTTTTCATGAAAACTTTGAGAGTTATAGTTTGCAGATTGGTAATTCTTTATTAAGGCAATTTCTAATGTCCTCTATGAAGAGCTCCCAAAGGTTGCATGGAGAGCAGTGGTGCCAGTTGTTGGAAAACTTAAGATGAATTTGCCTTAGAGATTGGTAAGAGACTGTCATGTTAAACAAGGTATGCAATGAAAACTCAAGCCTTTGTTATTCCAAATGAATGAAATTTCCCTGGGAACCAATCTTGTGATTTTCTGTTTAAGTAACAGACCACTAACTAGGAAATAAATCTCACTTTGTTTTCATTTGAAGCAGGTAGTCAGTTTTGAGGTAGTAAACTGTGCAATTTTCCTTCTGAGTATCTCTGAATTAAGGACTATCTGCCAAATTCAGTTAAAATTAAATTCTGCAAAATTTTCATGAAACACCTTAAGAGGTCATTTTGTTTAATTCCCTACAGTAGCCCATTCTAAATCAAAACAGTTACAGTATTTTTCAACCAATCTTGAAGTGGTAGCGTTCAAAAAAAATACTTGTGAATATTACACTTCAGATTTTGAAAACAAATGAATTATGGAGCAGATTATGAATTCCCCAAAACAAATAAATCTAGTAAGAACTTGTCACTCTTGAGGTGATGTGTAACCAGCATAATTAATCAAAGTTGATTTATGTAAATTCTGGTATAACTAGATACAAACACAATGCATCATTCTATCTAAATAAGAGCTACTGGTAATCATGTTTGCACAGCTCTGCCCTGATGATTAATCATTGCATCACATTCATGCAATATTTATTACAAATTTGTTGAGGGGCTAATGAACCCTATTGTTTAAAAATGTCCTTTTATTAAGAAGGGTTATAACACACCTTCACAAGTCATTTGTTTCATTTGCCAATTAAAACTGTACTTCCAGAGCCAACTGTGTATAATTTCATTTATATCCCAAATCTTTATTATGATGTCAGCAAAAGGAACAAATACATGAAGTTATTCTTTCCATCAATCAGGAGTTTCCCAATTATTTTAGTGGCTTCTGGATTGGTACACTAGTTCCACACCCACTCACCGAAGGCGAGCAATTTCTTGTCTTACAGCTGCGAGAGGAGAAAAGAGAAACATTTTCACCAAAATTGCAAAGAACTTACGGTCACAAAAAAAATTAAAATGGCTTAAAGTACATGCTGCAATAATGAACTAAGTTTTTAGTATGCGACTTTTGTTTAGCAAGAGAAACACAGCTCCAGAGTTATTTTTTGCAATTTTTATCCATGCAAAATATACTAAAGCCTGAAAGTTTCTAAGTAGCCATAGGGAAGTAAGTCTTTTATTTTTCCTTTCATTTCCTTTTTTGCCCTCCTTTTAAACCACTAACCTTCAATTATCTCTCTCTTGGCAGTATCCAATTCCTGTTTAAATTCAGCAAGTAATTCCTATTATGAGAAACATACAAAGTTAATATACAGGGTCAATTTCCAGCAAAATACAACTGTGTATTGGAAATCTTGAGATAGAAATGCAATATATAAATTATGCTCTAGCTTTCCATTTTAACCATTAGAATATCACAAAAATAATCCTACCGATTTTAATTCTTCAAGCTGATCATTACTTAAGGGGGATTCTGACTTGCTGTTTTTCCTGCAAACCAAAAGAACAATTTGAAACTCAGTGATTTTTGCTCTCAAAGTTGTCTTTTCATGGTATAAATAAACTTGTGTAATTCAAACCTCAAGCTTAGATTGATCTTGTAAATGCCACACAACTGCATTTAAAATAATTGAAATATCAACAACAATAACTGGCAGAGAAGATTTCTTGTCAGGGGAAAAATTTCTCTCCAACATAATGAGATGAAGTACACATGAAGCTTTACCTTTATCTTGAATTTTGTCAAAATTTGGATTAACAGGGCTTATAGACTTCCATCTAATTAGGAACATTAGCACTTCACTCTAATGAAGGGCTAACCATCAAAACGTCAGCTTTAGAAACTGGCCAATTAACTCAGCTAATTAAACCAAACTATCAAGTTTCATGTTACTTGTTGAAACCTTCATAATTCATGGAGCCCGCATTAAGTCTCTCATCCAAAAAGAATATTTCCACCTTTCACAGCTTGAATATTTTTCTCAACATTCCTTGATTAAGACCACCCTTACCTGGCACCATTACTTGTTGGTTTCCCTATTGACGAGAAGTTTGGTTTAATGTTGTTGTTTCCAAATGCCGGAGCTGGGGGTGGATTGCTTACAGTGGTGCGAGGTGCTAGTAGTGTCATAAAAATAAAGCATAAGTCAACAAACTAAAATTGGAATAACACCTTATGGAGAAACTTGTCTCAACAAAATTCCTAATCCCTTAATATAATTTTAACCACGTATGTAAGACCATCGAAAATTTTAAAAAAAATTTCCATGATTGAAAAATGAGATGTGACTTGATGTAGGAAAATGTTTCAAGTGCTGAAAAATTGAACAAGGTGGAACAGCAAACATTATAGAATAAGAGCAATGAAAAAATAAATCTCCTATTTTACAGTATGTCACTTTATACAATATTCTTGCATCATCTACTAAAATCAATTTCTCTCAAGAGCTTTGTCCAGGAAAGAAAACCAAAGAGAGTTTATCAAACCATGAAAGAAGACTTTAGGTATCATTTCAGCAAGAAAGATTACAAGTATGTCTTGACTTTGTCTACTACATTCAGTTTTCCAGGCTCATGTCCAAAAGTATCTTTTGAAGGCTTAGCTATAACAGATAATGAGACATCAAAAAGGTTGAATACTTACCAGCAGGTGCTCTTTCTGTTCTTGCCTCAGTTTCCTCTCTGACAGGCTAAAGATTTAACATAAAATTAAACAGGTAAACAAATTCAAAGCGATATTGGAGTCGGCAGCAAGTAAGGTTTACAGTCACTGCAGGATTATCAAACAAAAAATTTTATGGAATCAATGACCCTGATTAAAATTTTCATGACAATTTGTACATTTTCCTCTCATAACT